TGCTCGAAAGCCCCCATGGCCTGTGAGAAATTGCGAGATCCAATAGTCTGGGACGATCCACCTTGCTTCTAAACGTGACCGGACGGTGGGGAAATACTTCCTCAAGGTAGATCCTTTGGGGGTTATCACCCACTACCGGTTCCATTCCTCCAATGTGTCGTCCCGTATAATGTTTTTCCATTTGCAGGAATTCTCGTCAATTCTCACCTTAAGATGTTCCGGTAGACCTGCTGAGCCGTTTTTCTTAAACATGTGCCTCATCATATCTTCTCGCAGGAGAAGGTCGAGAGGTACCCCTCCTGCTAATACCTGCACCGCCTCATGGGATACGCTTCGATATGACCTGGTGACCCGCAGCAATACCGTTCGCTGTATTGTCGCCAACTTACTCTTCTGTTGGTGCGAGAGGTTCTGGTTTCAGGCGGGAGACGCATACCTCATGATACCCAGAATCACTCCCTTATAAATTGTTAAGGTTGCTGGGTATCTGAGGCCCCAGAAAGCGCCCCCAACCCGACTGAGACCGTTCAAAGATAGGGCCACTCTGTTTTTAAGATAGTCCAAGTGAAGGGTAACGCTGAATTTTTTCCCAAATTTTACGCCTAGATAAGTGACCACCTCACTTGGACGTATTCTCGAACCTTGAACCGTTATGTTAATAGGGTGTGCCCTGTCAGTTTTCCCTTTCATGACAATTGTATGAGTCTTTGAAGCGGCCATTGATAACTTTTTCCTCTCGCACCATTCTCCGACCAAGTTGGCGCATCGTTCCGCTTCTTGTCTTAAGCCGGCTATGCTTTTGGAGGCCACCACTACTGCCAAATCGTCAACGTATCCAGTGGCAGGAAACCGCTGTTCTTCTAACACTCCCAATAACTCATCAAAAACGAGCTTCCATAAAGCTGGACCAAGTACCGATCCTTGAGGACATCCCCTCTCTATGAAAGCTTCAGTCTCATAAGAACTGCCACGAACCTTAACACGTCTATCCTGTAAGTAGCTTCTTATCAAGGCATATAAGTTACTGGGAGCATCATATTTCTGCAGCTGCTGGAGCACAAGAGGCCACCAGACGCTGTCGAAGGCGGAGGATATGTCAAATAGTATCAACATGACTCAGTCCTCAGTTCAACGTCTTTCTCTGAATCATACACTTTTCCTATTCAAACCAAACCCCCATTAACATTATTTTTGTTCAAAAACGAGCTTTGAAGTTGAATTCTTTCCAAAAGAGTCCCTATTCAAGTTTCAACCTTTTCCGTTACACTTGAAATAGTTAATGATTTTCGGAAATGTGTGGTATAAATAAATAAATAAAGAATTTCCCAATTATTTTTTTTTATTTTAAACTTGAAACAGAATATATAGTATGTCGCGATTTTATGAAAAATTAATTAAGATTGGGATTCCCTTTGGATGTAACAGACTCATTTCAAACATGAGAAACATAACTGAACGTAAATCAGTTTCTTCGAATTTTGTGTTTATCAGACAATGATCTATTGAATTCATTGAACCCGAGCGAACCCAACCTTATACATATTCACGCGGAGGTAGAAAGAAAGACATTCATTGAAATTATCGAACAACATAATATAATAAACCCTTAATTATGCTTTAAAGACACTGAAAACATAAGATTATTTTTTAACACATTAAACTTTTCCTTATAAAATTTAATTGCTGAACTGTTACCGTTTTACTTTAAAAAACAAAAAGGACCTTGAGAATATTTTCTCTCCTAAAGAAGGCAGCAATTCCAATACACGCCTGTCAATGCAATGCCCGTGTTTCATCTTTGTGCACCGAAACAAAATTAAATCAAATGTGACTCACACTGTCTCTAACTAAATACACTAGCTGAGCAATGATAAATATATATATATATATATATATATATATATATATATATATATATATATATATATATATATATATATATATATATATTTAAGGTTTTTAATCAGCGAATGTTATCTGATACATTAATGATAAATAAAAAAAAACAGGGTGGTGGACGCATCACACAACTTTCACTAACCGCCCTACTTTGAGTAAAAGCAGGTCTTTATATGCATAAGTCGGTTGGTTGTATTGATGTTTTAGGCGTAAAACATCTAGGTTGTCGGCGCCAAATTAATAAAATAATATCGCTATAGAGATATGATGAGGCTACTAGGGATATGATAGAGAAAAGAAAGTAAAATTTATAGACGGTTAGATTTTTTTTTAATCAATTAATTACCAGATATTTTCTCCACTTTCCTAATCAATTAAATGTATGCCATTTTCGTCACTAACCATTCTTTTACGATGATTTTAGCCAACAACACGATAAAACGTCCTACTATATTTTACGGCACATCATCATTTTCAAAGGTTACCTACCACATCAACTGAAAAACTACCACAGTCGTTTAAAAAAATGTAATATTAGAAAAAGTTGACAAAGGAACAGCAATAAAAAGAGTTGAAGTGTCAAAACCATATGAGAAATTAAAGATACATTTTTTTTTTATTTCTTTATGACATTTACAACTGTATTACATAAATACATCAAGTAAATTTGGACATAATTGATATAATGACATGAATACACTTGCTGAGTAACTACCCAATGGTAACACTCTAAAAGATACATAAAGTTAAGATAAATTCATAAACATCAAAGGGAGGAAACAGTAATATAAAAATTGTTGAAGTTATATATGTTTTGATTAGTTTGAAAACACCTAGACAACAGCCCTCAGAAACGTGTGTAACATTTATATATATATATATATATATATATATATATATATATATATATATATATATATATATATATATTTAAACTTAACTATTTAATTGGGAATAAGGTCATTTAATTATTATTTAATAAACTATTGAATGTTCATTTCTTCTGTTTATTGACGTTTCGATCCCGGTATTTTCTTTTTATTAGTCAACCATGGGATCCTCTTCAAAGCTAGAATTTTAAAAAATAGAGCTTCGATCAGGCCAGGGACACACCGACAGTCTCAGCACCGTCCACTAGCACATATATTAAGCTACTACTTAATATATTAACCAGTATCTTAATATATGTGCTAGTGGACGGTGCTGAGACTGTCGGTGTGTCCCTGGCCTGATCGAAGCTCCATTTTTTAAAATTCTAGCTTTGAAGAGGATCCCATGGTTGACTAATAAAAAGAAAATACCGGGATCGAAACGTCAATAAACAGAAGAAATGAACATTCAATAGTTTATTAAATAATAATTAAATGACCTTATTCCTAATTAAATAGTTAAGTTTAAATTTAATACTCAAAGGTCGATTAAGGAAAAGTTGTAAATATATATATATATATATATATATATATATATATATATATATATATATATATATATATTATATATATATATATATATATATATATATATATATATATATTTATATTTAAACTTACAAGTTAGGATTTCACACAATTTAATAACAACAGTCATACTTCATTTATTCTTTTACACCTACATTTTAGCTCCTAAGCCATTTTCAAGGAAAGAAACCTTTAACAAACAAATACAATTATCACTGTCAAATTACAATTGCTCATCATTTTCATTTTATATTTTATAATTTATATATACAAACCTATTTCAAAAAAATGAACTCATATAGCTTGAATTGATTTTGTCCAAATGAACTAAGTTCTGATAATAAAACCTCCACTTATAAGTTTTGAAATAATTGTTTGTAGCCATTTTTTGCTATACCCGTATTTTCATTATCAACATCAATGATCTGTGTTATTTAAAACTAGGCTTACATTGAAAATTCGACAATCAACAGGTTTCTTTATTTTAAACTTAAATAATAGGATTAAGAACATGGTTGGTCACTTAAAAATACGGATAAATTTACATAATAGAGATGTTATGAAAAAAACATAGCTTTATTTTAACTTTAGATTATAAATTTTCGAAAACTCATTCATTATAAGATTTTTTTTTGTAAATAATATGTTTATTTATGCCGTTATGTTTTTTAAAAAAAATCCCACGTCATGGAAAACAAATAGAAATTAAAGCATTACAATAATTTATTGTCGTCATTTTTGCTGAAAACACTGGTATATTTGACATCTTATCACCTCATTTTTGTACTCAAGTTGAGTTGAATCTCAAATTATATAGTGATAAAACATAATTTAATTAATAAGGTTATGATCTTAAAACTTATTAAACATGGAATTATTTCTTAAAGCTGGGTATTAGTAGTATATTCGATGGATGATAAAAAAACAATTGGAGATATCTTTTAAAACCAGAACTTAGCTTAGTTTATCCGTTCAAAATTCGTCTTTAAATAGATTTAAAAATGACAAACCCTACTTTTAATTTGAAGTAAATTTTGAGTACTTTGCTGTGAAGAAATAGTTAATTAATCAAATAAAATATATTTTTAGTTATCGTTCTTTGTTTATGTAAACTTTGTAGCTCTTGAGGTTGATTCATATTAAATATCAAATTCAAATAACATTTAATTGTCACGCACTTCAACATGCAACCAAGACAGGTCAATCAAGATCAACGTTTTCATTGTTGATGAAGGTAATTCAAATTAAAGAAAAGAATCAGGAAATGGAATACCAACTTTAAATGGAAATAATCCTTCAACTCATAAAATTGCATTTTATAAGATTGATCATTTAATATTATAATGAACATACATATATAATCGTATGTTATTATGATGCATTTATAAATAATTTTCTAGTAAAAAATTAAATGAATGAGAAAAAATGCACCAGGAGTTACGCTGACTGCAGTGCATACAACGTGACCTTATTAAAGGAAAATTCAGCGATCAGAGATCTGCAATAATAAATCGCCCCCCAACAACTGATGACTTCCTAGATCGGCAAGCGACCAATGAGAAGGCATCCCGGATGAGGTGTGGTCGCCTCTACGTTGAGTATATAACTCCTCAAGGTGCTCTAAAGAGGCATAGTCAGTTCGCACGACACAGACAACACTAGCAATGGCATTTAAAGCTCTTGTGAGTATAAAAGTAAGACCGATGCAATTACTTTCAGAGCAATATTAACCTACATATAGTTACTACATTTAATCAATAGACGAATAATATTTTTACAAAAAAGATTAAAAAAAAAGACTAAGCGAACAATCTTTATAATTATAAAAAAACAGTTTTAACAAAAAATCTTCCATTATACATATTACAATGTTTCAGCTCTACTAGCCATTTTCAATCAATAAAATAAAAATCATAAGACACCCATATTTTACATATGGATACATATAATTTACCAATCTAATTGTTTAACTAAAACTATTAAATTTTTGTGGTTTGCTTATTCTTTTTAAATCAATAATTTCTTTAGCTTTGCTTTCTTCCTCATAGTATAAAGTATTCTTTTTTATATTTCTATTCATTTTGTAAATAGCATGTTCACTTAATGTTTTCTTTAATTTTTCTATTGTTTTATGCTTTAGCCCAGAAGTATTCTCTTATTATTGTACGATAATATTAAATTGAAAGAAGAGTAGTTCAATGAGTCAGGCACTTTGCTGCTATGCTTAAAGTCTCCGGGTCGAATCCGGCTGATGTCAAGTAATTTTTCATCAGCCGTGGATCGACCCTGGAGCCGCTCTATAAAGTGCCTCCTTTTAATTAGTATTTAATCAAAAGGGAAAACCTGGCGGTTGAGCGTGATCCTGACCCGATCACGTCCATGCACAACCGTTGGCCTAGAAACAATACAACTAACAAGGTAATGAACCCAAAACCTTTCATGGGTTGTGTATTGGTACAGAGTTTTTTTTTAATATTACAACTAATGTCAAGTAAATACTCAAATCAAAACATTGCAACATCAATTTATCTTTTTTCAATTGAAGTGCTAATGATAAATTATCATTTAAATTTTCAGACTATTTATATACGTTTCAGACCTTTATCAGGGATGCTTGTTCAAAGAATGTCATCGGACGAATGGATAAATTTACTTGAAGAACAGTCGTCCGAATCCCTTTGAAAGTTCCAGTGATGGCCTGAAATATAGACCGAAAGATTGACAAAAATAAAATTAATATAGTTTATTTTTGTAATGACTGTAATCTCAAACTAGTTTACCAAACACTGAGTTCTTCTTCACGACTTCCATCTTCTTCTTTTTCAGATGTTCCTCTTTGCCTGCTTGGCAGTGGCCTCTGCCACCCTCATCACACCCTACATCCTGGGAGGAGACGATGGTTCTTACTGGCCCGGCAAGTACGACCTAAGGGAACTCCACCCAGCTCTCCCCTCCGTGGCAGGAGCATGGCCTTACCCATATGCACATGCCTACTTGGGTTGAGAGCTCACTTATCCATCAGAAACTGCCATTTCTATAATCGCCTATAGAAAGACTATAGGAGTTAATTATATTTATTGTAAATAATTACGTTTTCTTGTATATTAAATTCAGAACAGTATAATACACCTTCGTTTTATCAAAATAAGAGTTTTATTGTTTACCCTGATCATTGAACTGGATTAATACATAAATAAATATATATACATACACACATATATATATTGTTATGATCTAGTATGCACCATTTTGGAATTCTATTATAATAATTAATATTATGGAAAAAGCAGAAATTACACTTTCATACGTCAGTTATTATAACACGTCACCGGAAGTAACAACTCCGCGTAAAAACGCGGAATAAATCGATGATTATTCGCAAAGCTGAAATTGGGGTAATTCAAATGGGCAGTTCCCATCCTTCTACCTAAAGAGTTCGCTAATAGAAATCGCGGTATTTGCCTATTATTAAGCGGAATCTCTCTAATTTTTTCATTGAATACATTTCACGTGTACACCAGAGCAGTAGATATTGCTGTTTGATATATTTTTTTTATATATAATTTTTTTTTCTTTTTCTTTCATTCTTTCTTTCTTCTCTTATGGTATGCGGTACACTCACCAAGTGATGTCCAGTAAGGTGCCCAAGAGGACTCGGTCAGACGGAGTAAGCTCACCAGCCAAACAAAGAACTCGTCGCTGCCTACGAGAAACATCTCCAACAACAAAAGTGAACACTTCAGAACCAGAACCACAGCCACAGCCAGGAACTTCTTCGCAAGAAATGATCGAAGAATCCCCTTTCTTTTCTCCAAACCCCTACCAAGTGCTTCAAAATGACCGAGAGGTAATGGAGTCTACAGCAATAACCACAGAACCAAGGCCTCCTCCAATATTTGTGAAAAATATTAAGAAATTCCAGTTGTTCTGCACCCAGCTAAATAAAATCTGCTCTGGCAGTTATTCATGTCTCAACAGGACCAACGATACAAAAATAACACCAGATACTGCTGAAACCTACCGGATAATAGTGAGGTAAATCTCAGAAACGAATGCGAATTTTCATACGTACCAGCTTAGGCAGGAGAGATCGTTACGTGTAGTAATAAGAAATTTACACTCCTCAACCTCAACTGAAGTGATAAAAGAAGAACTAGCGGCGATTGGTTTCAAAGTACGTCAGGTAACCAACGTTCTGAGGGAGAATAAGGAGCAGCCTGGAGTAAAAAATAAAGTTGCACTACCTTTATTTTTCGTGGATCTAGAGCCATCACCCGGTATTGAAAAAATATATCTGTGTAAGATTGTATTACACAATGGTAAAAGTAGAGAAGCCGTACCCCAAGAGAGAAATCTTGCAGTGCCATAATTGTCAGGCGTATGGGCACACGAAGACTTACTGCCACCATCTGCCGCGTTGCGTGAAATGCGGCGAACAGCACAAATCAGTGGAGTGCACAAAACCTATACAAGATCCAGCAGTGTGTGCACTATGCCTGGAGGGACACCCAGCCAACTACAAAGGATACCAAATTTACAATAATCTCAAATCCAGACACCAGAAAAACCGGATTCAAGATGAAGCAGGAAGACCAAGAAGAGAGAGAGAGCCTTCTAGAATAGTAAACAATAGTGTATCATTTTCCCAGCTACTTAGAGGTAAGAGCTCAACCGATAACTGTCAAGCCCTGCTGCAACAACAACCTCAACCCCAACCTCAAAATCCTATTGAACCGAATAAACCTAACCATCAACAACAAATTCATCATATCCCTCCTCCTTCAAATGCAACAGATCTCACCAGTTTGCGGGCATCTTTCTGTACCGATTTTAAATCCTTAGTTACTCCACTCATATCACTCCTCACAAATCTCGTATCTCACCTCATCCCTCCTTTAAAAAATTCCTAATGACTCACATCCCAAAATCCATATCCATTCTCCTTTGGAATGCGAATGGTGGTAAATCACGTTGATGAACTAACAGCTTTATTACTGGACAAGAACATCGACGTAGCACTAATTACGGAAACACGACTGACCAGAAAACAGCATTTGAAAATACCTCAATACATAACATACCGTACTGACTATCCTGACGGTAAAGCACATGCCGGTACTGCTGTTATTGTACACAACTCCCTTTCTCATCACCAGATCCCATTACCGACACAAGATTTCCTACAATCTACCGCTATCGTAATCAAAACCTTCTCCTTTCCCGTCACCATAGCATCAGCATATTGTCCTCCTAACAGATCCATATCCAATATCCAGTTCAGTTCTCTTCTCAACTCCTTAGGACATCATTTCATCCTGGGTGGAGATTTAAACGCCAAACACCATCAATGGGGTTCTAGAACCACGAATTCTCGTGGCAAAACATTGTTATCTGCACTCAATTCCCAACGGTTCAGTATCCTTCCTCCTAACTCACCTACCTACTGGCCCACAGATCCTAACCGCAATCCCGATATTCTTGATTTATTCATCCATAGTGGCTTAGGTCCCCTCAATCATTCCCTTACCCGTCTTGCCGAACTATCCTCAGATCATAGTCCATTATTGCTCCAATTATCTCTAGCTCCTATTATCAAGTCTTCTCCACCGTCCTTCATCAGAGGCCCAGTTAACTGGAAACTTTTTCACCAAATCCTTTCCGATATAATTGACATCAGAATAACCCTGAAAACCCCAGATGACCTTGACAATGCAGTACACTTTTTTACCACCACTATCCAACAAGCAATCTGGACTGCTTCCTCTCCAAACCACTCCTTAAGAACTCCCAAGAAAAATCAGTTACCTCAACACCTCATAGACCTAATCCATACCAAACTCCGTGCCAGATTATTATGGCAACGTACTAGACACCCCTCCGATCGTCAATCCTATAATTATTTTTGCAAAAAATTAAAGATAGAATTGGTCACGTACAGATCCCAATCCTTCAACTCCTACCTTACTTCCCTCTCTTCTCATGGCAATTCCCTATGGAAGATCACTAAGCAAATCCTAAAACTCCTTCATATATCACATCATATCCGTCGATGTGATGGCTCTTGGGCAGCATCTGACGAAGATAGAACCGAGGAATTTGCCAAACACCTTTCCCTTACATTCACCTCTCATCCAGAATCCAATCCCACCCACACGTCAGCAGTAGAATTCCTTAATTCACCCATCCCACTCTCCTTACCAACTAAAGCAGTTAATCCTTCTGAGGTCAAATTCCTCTTACAAAAACTACCTACCCGCAAATCACCTGGATACGATCTCCTTACCTCTCAGATCCTTAGAAAACTCCCTCCTAAAGCTGTCATATTCCTTACATACATATACAATAGCATCCTATGAACCAGCCACTTTCCTCTTTTGTGGATATATTCCACTATTATCCTGTTTCCGAAACCAGGCAAACCTCCCAACACCTCAACGTCCTACAGACCAATAAGCCTACTTCCGATTCTCTCAAAAATCTTTGAAAAGATCCGTCAAATTGTAAATATTGTATATAGATATGCATTTGTTATTTTTATTTATTTATTTTTAGGTTATTTTATTATTTTTTATTGTATATATATTATTTTTCTGTATAATTTGTTTTGTTTATTGTACTTAGAGTGTGAATGTGATCTGTGAACTCTATTATAAATGTCCTATAGACAGATTGTAATGTTTTTCAATAAATAAGTTAAAAAAAAAAAAAAAAATAGAAATAGAAATAGAAGCTGAAAACCCATCTCCCTCAGTCCTTATACCTTGTCCTCCGTTCCTACCTCTCAGATCGTACCTTCCGAGTTCGCTGCGGTACTCAATTTTCGAATTGCTTTCCAATTGAGGCAGGTGTTCCTCAAGGTAGCGTATTGGGTCCCGTCCTTTACATCCTGTTTACCACCGATATCTCTGTCCATCCCCATACCTTCCTGGCAACTTTTGCTGATGACACCGCCATTCTATCATCCGACTCAGATCCTGATATAGCATCCTCAAATCTTCAAAGGCACCTCTCCCTGATTGAGCACTGGTGTAATAAATGGCGTATTAAAGTAAACGAATCCAAATGCCAACACATCACCTTACCCTCCGGACTTGAACTGTGGGGAACAGTAAAATTAACCAACATCAAACGCATCCAATCCTTCCAATCCAAAGTCCTTCGAACAATAGTCAATGCTCCTTTCTATGTAACCAACAAAACCCTACACCACTTAGAGTGTGAATGTGATCTGTGAACTCTATTATAAATGTCCTATAGACAGATTGTAATGTTTTTCAATAAATAAGTTAAAAAAAAAAAAAAATAGAAATCGCAATATACACAAGAGAGGGAAAAATAAGAAGGCACTCTTGTAAGGTACACCCAGGTCAGAACACTATTTTATGGGAAACACCGTCGAGAGAACATTTTGTGAATTCTTAGCGAGACCAGATTTTATTCCAGACTCCAGGTAAAGAACCGCTAGCAGAAGCCAGAAATTATCAACACTCATCAATCCACAACATCAAGTAAAATGTGAATTGTATACATATTCTGCAGAACTTTATAGTAGAATAATTCACAGTTCAAAGTAAATGTATTAACAATTTAAACAATCAGTAGCTAATTTTATTAAATATATAATCTATAAATTATTTTATAATCAGTTAAGTTGTTTAAGTTGTATAATAAAGAGTAATTGTTTGTTGAAGGGTATAATTTGTGAAGAATTTAATTTTAAATGATTCTTAATTGTGTGCATAATGATATACACTTCCAATTTTGATCAAAAATTTCATGTCACTTAAATTTAAATATGATGGTTGACCGTAGATATAATATGAGAAGGAGTTGATCGAGGGGAGGGGTGTGCGGCCAAATAAATACTAAATTAAACAAATATATTTAGTTTTTGCCGACGTTTCGACCCAATTTGCAGGTCTTCATCAGCATCAGCCTCCCGCAGTGCTACATCCTACGCCCTGATGAAGACCTGCAAAGTGGGTCGAAACGTCGGCAAAACTAAATATATTTGTTTAATTTAATATTTATTTGATCGCACCTCCCGATCAACTCCTTCTCATAAATTTAAATATGATATTTTGTTTTTGCAGTTATTGCAGATTAATAACAATCGCAACTAATAAATCCATAATAAATTTTCCCTTTATATTCATTGTTTATTATGTCACTTCCTTCTGCCAAATTTTAATAAATTTAAATATCAGCTCTCCCCTTCGGAAAATGGACAAGCAGACAATAACAATGAATAGTAATTATCTTATTTTATAATTAAGGCAGAAGGAGGAAGGTTACCTATTCTTTATATATAAAACATATATGTTTTAGTGACCGTGTAATATTTTATTTAACATGTACCGGGCAGGGACCGTAACGATGACACCACAATTACAGTTAGGAATTGGGAATAATAATTATATAATACAAATAAATACAATTATATAATACTATAAATTGGCAATAAGGCGCGATTTATAATATAGATTTTTAAAGGAATTGAAAAAAATGTCCGAACTGTGATTTGGTTATTATTATTAATATTCTTATTATATCATGACAAAAATAATACAATATGAACAAAAGAATACATTTAAAGAGCACATTTAAATGAACAATTGTATAATTTGTAAAATAGAAATTGGCTCGCCGTCAGGTGGACAGGGAGTACTCTCCTAGTTATTATTGTTAATAATGTTTTATTTAATATATATAATATGAAGTTTAACATTGAAAAAATATATATATAAAGCTTTCATGGCATGGAAATCCGTTTGCCAGAAGTTCTATATATTACTAGCAGACTCTTGCAGTGGCCAAATATTTTCCCGCCTATCCCCCACTCTTTTGTCTTCTCTACTCGTTCTTAGGTACTTCTAAATTTTTGTTTACAAGTTGAAATTTTTTTTTCATTTCTTTTCCTATTTCCTACATTGGTTCACAGAAAGACTGACTGTTTACATACTGCGATTCATTTTATTCGAGATAATACAGTATAGTCTAAAATAATACATAATTCGGACAATTCTCTTTGTTTACATTCAGAAATAAATGAATGCTCCTTACCATTATTGAATATCCGATAACGTAGTATCGGATTGTTTTCTGTTCTATATTTCCCATCTATTTCTTGATTTTTTTTTCGATATTTTTTTAAGTAAATTTAAACCTGCAAATCCTAGTAATAACATGCAGTTCTGTGAACAGTAGACCTCACGAATTCATATATATATATATATATATATATATATATATATATATATATATATTTTTTTTTTTTTTTTTTTTTTTTTTTTTTTTTTTTTTTTTTCTCTCAAATTGATTATTTAACCACCTTTTCAATTCTTTATTTTATTTTTTAATTAAATTCCCTACCTTTAATAAACATTTGTGCAAAATTTGAAGAAAATGGAATAACACTTTCCCAGTATAAGGTGGTTACTGAAGTATGATGAAGAGGGGAAATGTTGCAGGTATTGAAGAGGTGGAACATGAGTGGGGGAAAACTGCGCGAGCTTCCTTCAGCTACACTCAAACTTAACTTAGATGCACCGTAGATGATTCATAATAATGGTAATACTAAAAATATGTTTTAAAGATTCATTTATAAAGAGAACTATCTAATAAATTAATTAATAAATCTGTCAGAAATATAAACAAATAAACATTTAAAACATTACAATTGTAATAACAAATATAAGTATAGAACAATAAAAATTCGTGATAATGACAGATTTCTATTTAAAAACAAGAATAAAGAAAAATAAGTTTGATGAACCTTGATTATTTTGGATAGACGAAATAGTAACGAAGAGTCCACGCATAACTAGCAAAACACACAAGCTAAAGATATTTATTTGCAGAGGTGTGAAGGAGAGAAATCAAAAATGAATTCTGAACAGAACTTGCACCTCGAAATTCGATACGAATTTCAGGATATATACATACCAATCACTTTGGGTAGCAATTTAAAATGCATATTATTAATTCTTTTTGGTCACAGTGAACCTAAGAAAAAAGAAAAAAAACGTTGATTGCTGATTGTTTTTAATAATTATTTTACAGAATTTATAAAACATTTAACATTTTAAATACTGTAATCTGATAGAAGAAATATTATTACTATTAATATATATATATATATATATATATATATATATATATATATATATATATATATATATATATATACATATATATATATATATATATATATATATATATATATATATTATTAAACAATCTCTCTTTGACATATAAATAACAATGTAAAAAAATAATAAAATTGTCAATCACAAAAATCTATGAACATGCTGTAACATTTTAGATGGATACTTTTATATTTCTAATTATGTAAACTTTCTATAACCAACAGTGATTTTAAATCATACATTAATTCTCGCTCACGTTCGTTAGGTTGTAAAATTCCCCCGATTTTTTGCATATTCTGAATTTTTACGGTGGCTATTTTTACATATTTGACGGTAAATGCTTTCCACTTCTGAACGAAAATCTTTATGTTATTAACATGCACCGATAACAAACCTGTTTACTACTAGTAAACATAGAGTTGTGTTGTGGAAAGAACTACACCAAGGTTAAACATTCGTATCCACCAATTTATCTAACGATGGCGAGGTAGTGGGCATCAGGAGAAAAACAATTAACGTGTGAATGATATCAAATTTAGAAACCTTTGAAACGAGGGTTTTTTTATTAAATCTTCTTAAATAAAATATTCTTCTTCCTCGATTCAGACTGTGTTATCTTAAAAAATGAAACTTATGAGCTATTAATTTTTATTTTACTCAATTGATAATTGGCTTAATTTTTCAGATTGTATGACGTTCGTGAATTTTTAATATTAAGAAATTTTCCAGTTAATATATCATAGTTTTTTTCCTGTAGGCATTACAAATCATGTAGATTTTTTACCACCTTAACAAGCCTGCTCTATCTTGGGCTATTTCTTTCTAAATCTCTGCACGCAGCTCTATTGCACCTTTCAGTTGATTCTATCCATCCATCTGCTTTTTGGCTTTCCACGTCGTCTTTTGCTTCCTATTGAAGCATTCATTGATACGCAGAAGGTTCCAGATGGATTGCTACGAGCTACACGTATTAGGACTCGACATTTGGGGTCATTTGTACACCTTTGTCAATCTCACAAACTTACCGGGAATTCTCAGTTCAGTCATGATTTTTAAAAGACAGCTTCTGTCCACAGGATCATAGGCTGCTTTGAAGTCGACAAATAGGGCGAGGACGTGGTCAGCTACTTCCCATCGTTTTTTGAATACTTGTTTTAGGATGAAGATCTGGTCTAGAGTTCACCTTTATTTTTTGAATTCAGTTTGGTGGTCGCCTATTATATACTCGTAATACGAATATATCCGGTTTAGTAGGATATTGGTCATTATCTTGTAGGCTACCGGAAGGAATGCTATGTCTCTGTAATTATGTCTCTGAGAGAGAGAGAGAGAGAGAGAGAGAGAGAGAGAGAGAGAGAGAGAGAGAGAGAGAGAGAGAGAGAGAGAGAGAGAGAGAGAGAGAGAGAGAGAGAGAGAGAGAGAGAGAGAGAGAGAGAGAGAGAGAGAGAGAGAGAGAGAGAGAGAGAGAGAGAGAGAGAGAGAGAGAGAGAGAGAGAGAGAGAGAGAGAGAGAGAGAGATGAGAAAATGCTTAACCGTCAGGTTTTCCTCTAAATTAATTATTTAATTAGAAATATCCACTTTTAAGATGCTAGATTTGCCCCAAGAGGATCTCTGGGCCTCGTTCCATAGCTGATGTAAAATAATAACTAATTACCTGCTATCAGCACATGAATCCATCAAAGTCAATGCCTTACCCACTGAGGTTTCCTGATCCATTACATAATATATATAGAATATATTAATTTTCAGTACTTCCATAGCCTATACCTTAATTCCAATATTTTGTAGTCCTCACAACTACAGAGTGATTGCTACTTAATTTCACTTTTGCTTGCTAAACTTATGTACTAAAGCTTTAGTACATACATTTAGTTGAAAAAGGTGCTCTTCGGAAGAGTGGATGACAAGGAGCAATTGATATTTTAACAACTAGACGTAAATGAAAATTCTACAACAGCTGCAAAAAAAGGACAGAATAGTTTATAGAAGCTTTAAAATATTGTACAAGATATTTGATAAAAATCTTTAACAATTATTGCCTGGTTAAACAATGCATAAAAATATCACGTTACTAATAAATACTGATTCGGTTCTATTAAATATCTCTCCTAGCAGTTCCCAATCTTTCCATAATGACATACACACCTGAATATACCTGAAGTTAATAAATTATTCATAGTAACAATAATGAAACAAAGCTTTTCTGTTCGATTTGTAAACATGTTTGTTTATGTGCTATGAACTCGTGAGCAGTCACAAGGAACAGCTGCTTGGAATGCATATAAAAGGAAGGTACGAGGAGTTGCCTGGGACTAAATAGTGCCGCGAGATGGACGGATCTGTTGCCTTCGTACTTGGAGCCATCTTGGCCGCCGCCTCTGCTCAGCCGTTCTTCGGAGCGCTTTCTGCCGCTACCGGAGTGGGATCGAGCATGGTCAACGGGATGAGGGTCACCGCCAACGGCCTGGGGTCGGCCAAGAGCTCCGCGGTGCAATCTGGCGTTGACAGTGTCAAGGCAGGCGTGAGTGAGTACAGTGAAATAGTCCATACATTTATGTGAGCTCCTCTTTTTTCTTAATCTTCTATGCTCTGGAAGATCTACGGGGTAATGGGTCACTTTCAGCTATCGGTCTGAAGTCATCTAATACTGAAAACTCAGTGGAAATGAAAAAAAAAACCATTTGTAATATTATTATCAATTCAGCCAAAAAGACGATGTTTTAATTTTCACACTAATATGTGCTTCTATGATTTTTAGAAGATATTTAATGTACTTTCATGACATTGCATTGATAGTTTGAAATATGGTTACATCATTTTTGCGATGCAAACTGGTGAATATTATATATTATCTAATTTGCATTGCATAATTTAAAAAAAAACGTAGGAAATAATTGTCGACGCACAGTAAGGAACATGCCAGATTTAACAATTTGGTACAAAATAGAATTATAAAAATAATTAATTAATTGAACCATGTCAAAAAATCTTAAATGACGTATTCGATGTTTTGAAATGAATAATACGATCTTCTGTGCAGATACGAAACAGATCAAAGTAAAGAATGTGGCGCATTGCATACTATGCAACATTTTGATAAAATAAAAATCTGTTAAAATTTTTAATTCCAGAATAGTTAAAATTGTATTCTATACTTAGCCAAAGAACATTAATAAACATACCATATATTCAATGCAATTCAATTACTGTTTTTGTACATTGTAAAGGCGATTCAGGACCGAGACTTTATGCATCGTTTCTGAAGTAATCACTAGAGTGCAGGATTTAAAATCATTATTTTTCATATTCAATAGTTCACATCGACGATGTGAGCGAACTAAGGCGAACACTTAAAATTTAACAATATGCTTTCTAGTCATTACAAGAGTAACCTACTAGAATAATAAAAGGCTTAGAAAAACCCTAAAATTCGATGCCTATACTACCAATGGCTGTCCACATACTACCATTAATCAGTCGCCGTCCAAAACCTGTCCAAATCAACCTAATCGCAATCTTCCCGCCTTCGCTTCGGTTTGCCCCTCGAACGTTTTCCAGTCGGCACAACAAATATTAAACTTTTAGGTATTATTTACTTACAAAGCCCTGCAATTTTACATGCTGCAATGTAATCACCTCAATTATGATAACCGGATACAGTTCACGCAATTTGGCATCGTGCAAACGCTTAAGATTTCCGGTTGAATAATCTTTCTTCGGTCTTATTCTTGAATATTCTTTGCAATAATTTATTTTTAAAAAACCTTGTGACGTTGTTGATCCCTTAGTGTAACCGACTACGCTTCCTATCCAAAAAGAACCATAGATAGGATTTACCAATGATTTGGTAAATTTTAATTTTTAAGTTTTAGGACAGAATTTCAATGTAACTACCGTTAATAAAAAAAACAGCCCACAAAAAAAAAAAATTTTATTCCAATCTGGTTCCATGTGCTTATCAGCATGGAGCAGTCTCAGCACATCTTGGTCTCCTCGTAATATCTCGGCATGAGTTTACCAATTATTGAGTTAGATATTAACCATGATTACACATATATTCCAAAAAACAAATCATCTAACATTGCCAACAGTCTAACATATGCTTGGTGTTCTTTCGTATTGCATTCTACAAATGTACCCTGTTAACTCTATTAATAACAACACTAGTTTAAACAGCATCGGTGTTCTCTAATTTAATAGAGAGGATAAGGAATTATAAAAGTTAAGCGGTATGTCATTTATGGATAGTAAAAAATACAGAACTTTCAAATTAAATAGGAACAATGGAAAAGATATAAGATATAAGGTATATATATATATATATATATATATATATATATATATATATATATAAATATATATATATATATATATATATATATATATATATATAAATATATATATATATATATATATATATATATATATATATATATATATATATATATATACAAAAACGAATACACCAGTTAATTTAAAAACAAAAAGATTCATAAAAATACACAAACTTTATCGGAAAAAAATAAACGTGTCATAAATAAAATATTACTATTTTGATCAAATCTTTGTTTTTATGATTTGTATAGGTTTTTACAAACTACAAATTTTAATTTAAGATTATATGATAAATAATAATCTATAATTAAACTAGATTTGATGATTTTTTAATGCTGTTCCTCATGATTACATTTTCTTTACATATCAATCGCTTCGAAGATTCTAAAAATAAAAACCTATATTTATTTACCTATATATATTTATTCAATAATTAAAGCTGAATAAAGAAATAATCAATAAATTGTAAAACTGATTTACTCAAATCAATGGATAATAGATTTACAGAACTCAATATCATTGAATAAACTTAATTTCGAGTAATTATTTTTCGAGCATGTCTACCTGTACATATCGCAATAAAATAAAAATGAATCGGATATATATAGATCACGATAATGCAAGCGATGGAGTGGAGTAGCTTAGTGAAGTAATTAGTTCTTCTTCTCTCGAGACAAGAATAGAGTTCGGCAATAGAACCTAATTATTTATGCTGTTACATCTGCAGCGGAACGATTCTGGGGATTGGAGACCCTTCTGGGATACAGCCCCTACGAAGAGGGTATCTTTAATTGGGAGAAAATTTGAATGTCGAGCCTTAACTTGGCTAAATCATCGCCTCGCACAACCGCTAACCTAAAAACGGAACTGCCTAACAATACACAGAATCTAATATTATTACGATTAATTCATAATATGTTAATACTAATATACTTTTTTAAAACTTTATTTATTGAAAATTACATTATGTCACTTGGACATTGTTTATAGTGAAGTAAGATCACATTCCCACTATATGTACAAAAAAATATAAAATAAATCAAAAACAGAAGAAAAATAACAAATAAATAATAATCAAAAATGTAGACAATAAATGAAATATAATAACTTAAAAATAAGGAAATTAATAAAAGCAAAATACATATAGATATCTATATACACAATTTACAATCAGGCGAGGGAACTCCGAGGCAGGCTGGTCCCTTCAACTATGGAGGGAAAAGCATGACTACATGAGTTCTCAGCGCTACTCTCTCGACCGCGTCACTAGTACTAAAGCCAGCGGAGATTGATCGAAAGCGCTGTAGCTACATACATACATACATACACTCATCTATTGAGAGCGTTGATAACACTGTGAAGAAACAGGAAAGAATGAAAAATAAATTGTTATAACTGTACACACTGTAAATATTTGATGCATACTTGACCTGTATTGAATGAAAAATCTCAGATATTTCTCTGGAAAACAAGTCAATCATGGGAGCCTAGGTGGAAACATAATCACTCACGTCAGCTGATCGATCAGCTGTTTTTGTCATAATAATCATAAAATAACACATTAAATCTATTAATGATACGTTTAATGGGTTGCTATACAAGAATACAAGACGTTGAATATTGATTCAGGCGTTTTTTGTATTGTATTGACCCCAAAATACATTACGTTAGTTATTCTTCTTAGTAACTAGAGTGATGAGAATTGTTTGTGATTAAACCAATGAACAAATTAGGAAGTAGCTGGTCTGTGCACATATGAGGCATACAGAACTACATTGGACCAAACCCATTAATTGTATATAATCGACGTCAAAAGTTACTGAAATATAATTTAATAATTAGAAAAAAAATATTAAGTTAGCTTAATCCACTTAAGTCCCAAATTTTATAAAATGTTATCAAGGCTAAAACAACTGTTGCCATTTGTTTAAAAATAATAGTAATAGGTTTCTGGTTAATGTTGAATATGAAAATATAAACCAATGATCAAAAAACATATTTTTTAAACTTTTATACTTCATTCTATTTTGCTTTGAACACCTGAGACAATAAGAATACAAATAGTCACGAAAATTCATTTTTTTTTTTTTTTTTTTTTGGCAGACATGGGAGCTAACATGGCTTCCATGATCCCAGGACTAGGTTCCTTTGCCAATCTGGGGGCCGGCATTGTGAACTCTAAAGCAGACACAGTGAACAGCTTAGTACAAAGCAAGATCAAGACAGCTCTGGCCTTGGAGAACGCCAAGTTGGACATGATGGATACCGGACTCAACATGGCCGGAACTGCAGCCAAAACAGGAAGTAGCCTCCTCACTTCACTTCCTGGCATGGCCTCATCCCTTTCTTCATCACTTCCTGGCATGGCCTCATCCCTTTCTTCATCACTTCCTGGAGCTTCTTCACTTTCCAGCCTGGCGTCTAGCGTGAGTGCTTCAGTTCCTGGAGCCAGCTCAGTAACTTCAGCTCTCAGTGGTAATGCAGCTTCAGGCTCTGCTGCTAACGTGGCTGCAACAGTTTCCAACACTGCTGCATCAGCACCAAATGTAGCTGCATCCGTAAGCGCTGCAGTTCCTAGCACGAGCAACGCCGCCGCTGCAAATAACGCCGCAGCTACAGCAACTGCAAGACAAGGCGGATTATTATCTTTGTTTAATAGTTTCACAGGGTAAATGAAACTGAAAACAGGACTTACACACAATATAAATCTACTAAGACCTAACTTGTGATGTACATAATAATATAAATAAATAAGCTCTAAATCTATTGTTCTAGAATGTTAATTTACCTTTCCATTAACCTAAAACGGAATTTATAAACATCAGTATACAAAACAAGAGGTTGTTAGAATATCCACACCATCATGAAAAGACAGGTAAAAATTAAATAAGAGTTTTTTTTTTTAAATATACCTGAATAATTGATGATAATCAAAATCAAACATATAACCATGAAAAACACGGCAATCAACAAGCGACAGATATATTTATAACAATATATGAGGTCAATACTTCTCAATAAATCTCGACTTGACAGCAAATTTTTAGTAGGTATCTTCCAATTATATTTTTCATCTCACAACATTGGAAAGAGATGAACTTGACAAATTTCATTCTGTCTGATAAAACTAATAGAAAAATTAATGAAAAATTTAGTACACTTACTGAAGATTACGAAAAGCTGGTGAGCTACAAAATTTTATATTCTAACATTTTTTCTATAAACCGTGGATATTAAAAATCACGAAGATGAAAAAAAAAAAAAAAAAAAAAAAGCAATAGCACTGCATTTGAAGGTATATAATTTTTGCTAAGAAAATATTCTATTTTATTGAAAAGATAAATAAAATAATAGAGCATTAATGAGATTTTCATTTCCTGCCATAGATAGTTCAAAGGTGGTCACAATAGTTGTAACTAGATAATGTTGGATTTTCCCAAAGGAATTTATCAAATTATTTGTTAATTTAATTTTCTAAAAAGGTTACGTGATGATTACTTAATTGTTTACATACAATATCATTAATTTTTTTTTTAATCTGTTTATTGAATAATAATACAATCAGCCACTGCTGGAGGGCTATAAGCATTAGGGCTACAAGTTCTCATTCATACAATATATACAAATAATAAAGAAATAAATATAAATATAATAAGTAAATAAATAATACTGGTGAAGAAGTTAAATAAAAATAAAATAAACAAATAAAATAAAATAAAAATTTCTAAACACAATCATACCTATATACAATATATACATTCGCCCAAGAATCTCCGAGCCAGGCTTTTTCCCCCACACGTGGAAGGCGAAGCAAGACTCCGGAAGATCCCAGCGCCACTTTTCCAGCCGCATCACTAGTATTAGAAGCCAATGGAGACTGAAAGAGGGCACTAGAGCCACAGACGCTCAGGACATGAGTGGAGAAGCTGGCCATTGCCAGGACTCCAAAGGCATATTTACAAAAGATCTCGAGGCCACTGCCGTTTCAACCTTCGAGGGGGATGGTATGGATGTTCGGAGCTGGATAGGGATTGCGCTAGAGGATTGGGATGATGAATGAGGTTCTGGTGAAAGTTGGAGAATCTGGATGGGATGATGTCATGGACATATGGGATGTTAAGGTCATGGTGTAGGGTCTTGTTCGTGACATAATATGGAGCATTGACTATTGTTCGAAGGACTTTGGACTGGAAGGATTGGATGCGTTTGATATTCGATGATTTAGTTGTCCCCCACAGTTCAAGTCCGTAGGTCCAGATAGGTTTCAGTATGGTCTTGTAGATTAATAATTTGTTTTCTGTTGAGAGATGAGATGTTCTGTTTAGTAGTCTATATAGCTGACCAAATCGTCGGTTAAGCTCTTGTCTTTTAAGTCTGGTATGTGGGTTCCAAGTCAGTCTTTTGTCCAAAAGGAAGCCAAGGTATCGGACTGTGTCTGAGTAGGGAAGAGGAATTGAATTAAAAAGGATTGGCGGACAGGATCTGCGTCGAAGAGTGAAAGTTACATGCTTGCATTTTGATTCATTAATTTTGATGCGCCAGTTGTTGCACCACTGCTCAATGAAGGAAAGGTGTCTTTGCAGGTTCTGAGACGCTATTAGAGGATCCGAGTGAGAGGATAGGATGGCAGTATCATCAGCAAATGTTGCTAGGAAGGTATCAGGACTTGAAGGGATGTCAGCGGTGAAAAGGATGTAGAGAACTGGGCCCAAGACACTGCCTTGTGGAACACCAGCCTCAATTGGATAATGTTTGGAGAGTTCAGTGCCGCAGCGGACTTGAAAGGAGCGATTTGAAAGGTAGGATTTGAGGACTAGGTACAAGGGTTGAGGTAAATGGGTTTTGAGCTTGAAAAGCAAGCCATCGTGCCACACCCGGTCGAAAGCTTGAGCTACGTCCAGAAAGGCACCAGTGCAATATTGCTTGTTTTCAAGTGCAGAGGATATGTGGTCGACAACGCGAAGGCCTTGTTGGACAGTGGAGTGTCTTGAGCGGAATCCAAACTGATGGGGAGGGATATTGTGGGATTCGAGTATGGGTAGGATGCGTTTGAGAAGGATTTTCTCAAAGATTTTGGAAAGGATCGGAAGTAGGCTTATCGGTCTATAGGATGATGTATAATTAACAGGTTTACCTGGTTTAGGAAAGAGGATAATTATGGAGTGTTTCCACACCAGAGGAAAGTGGGTTGTGCGGAGGATACAGTTGAATAGGTATGTAAGGAATATAATTGCTTTTTTGGGAAGTTGTCTGAGGATCTGGGAAGTAAGGAGATCGTGTCCTGGAGATTTGCGAGGTTTTAGGTTCTTTAAAAGGAATTTGACCTCAGAGGGGTTGACGGCTGTAGGAGGTAAGGAGAGAGGAATCGGTGAAGAGAGGAACTCTTTAACTTCAGCAGTATGGGAGGGATGGAGTTCAGGATGAGGAGTGAATGTGTACGATAGATGTTTAGCAAACTCTTCTGCTCTATTCTCATCTGACGAAGCCCAGGAACCATCATCACGGCGGAGGGGGTGGGAAATGGATTGGAATTTAAGGATTTTTTTAGTTACATTCCAGATGGAGTTATCACTTGCAGATAGTGAGGAAAGATAGGAATTATAGGATTGGGATCTAAACGTGGCCAGTTTTTGTTTTACTTGCTTGGAATAATAGTTATATGATTTCCGATCATCAGGATGCCTGGTTCTTTGCCAGATAGCCCTAGAGCATCGTTTTATATTAATAAGGTCCAGTAGGTCTTGGGGTAGAGGATTTGTTTTGCGGTATTTTTTAGAAGGATCAGGTGAAGATGCAGTCCAAACTGCTTGTTGGATCAAGGTAGTCATGGAATGTACTGCTTCATCTAAGTCTGTAGGTGTTTTTAAGGAAACTCTGAGGTCAATATTGTCATCCAGCATTTGACGGAAGAGGTTCCAATTAACTGGCCCCCTGATAAATGAAGGTGGAGGTGGTTTGGGATTCGGTGATGTGGACCGTTAGGATTAGGGGACTATGGTCTGAGGAGAGATCATCAAGTCTTGAGATGCAATAATTAAGGGACCCTAGACCTTTGTGGATGAAAAAATCTAGGAGATCGGGATTGCGGTTAGGATCTGTTGGCCAGTATGTGGGAGAATTGGGTGAGAGGATGTTGCTGTGATGGGAATTAAGTGCAGCTAGCAATGTTCGTCCTCGGGAATTTGTGGTTCTGGCTCCCCATTGCTGGTGTTTAGCATTTAAGTCTGCACCTAGAAGGAAGTGGTGTCCTAAGGAGTTAAGGAAGGAAGTTAATTGGGATTCTGAGATGGGTATTTTAGGCGGGGAGAATGCTGCGACTACTGCTATTGGGTAAAGGGAAGTTTGGATTATCACGGCAGTGGATTGTAGGAAATTATGGGTTGGCAAAGGGAATAGATGATGGGAAACGGATCTATGGATAATTATGGCAGTGCCACCATGTGCTGTTCCATCAGGATGGTCGGTTCGATAAATATTGTAGCCGGGAACGTTGATTTGTCGTTTGTTGGTTAGTCGAGTTTGAGTTATTAGTGCTATGTCGATGTTTTTGTCATGTAATAAGATTGTCAGTTCGTTGATGTGGTTCCGAATACCATTCACATTCCAAAGGAGAATGGAGAGGAATTTGGTTGAGGACATTTATGGATTTCTTGGCAGTGGAATGAGGTTGGATATAACATTGGTAAGTAGCGAAATAAGAGGGGTAATGAGAGATCTAAATTCGGAAAGGAAAGATGTCAGTAGGCTTGTGAGGTCAGTGGAATTGGAAGGAGGAGGAATGAATGTATGAGTATTTAACCTACGTTCGGGGATGGAGGGATATGGGTCTTGAGGTTGATGTGTGAATTCTTGAGGTTTAGGTTCTTGTGGCAGGGCCTGAGATTGAGAGTTTACAGTGTCTCCTTTGAACATCTGAGCATAGGACACTCTTCCGTTCACTATTCTAGAGGGTTGTCTTGGTGGCCTGGATGTCCCTTCTTCTCTAGGCGTTGCGTACATTCGTGTTTTTAAATTTTTGTATGTTTGACAACCCTTGTAGTTGGCTGGGTGTCCATGGTGGCATAAAGCGCATACTGCAGGTGAAGTTCTTGACTTCCTACAGTCCTCTGTTTTGTGTTGCTCACCACACCTCACACATCTAGGAATGTGATGACAATACCGTTTCGTATGGCCATAAGCCTGGCAGTTATGGCATTGAACGATGTCGCGCTTGCTGTAGGGCTTTTCTACAACAACGCTTGTATAATAAAGGCGTGTGACCTTGTAGATGTTTTCGACATCGGGTGTTCGGTCAAGGTCAACGAAGAATAGTGGAAGAGGTATTTTATTTTTTATTCCAGGCTGTTCTTTATCCTCCTTGAATATGTTCACTATCTGGCGAACATGGAATCCCATACCCATGAGCTCTTCTTTTATAGCATCTGTTGGCGTAGATGGGTGCAGTCTTCTGATAACGACCCTGAGCGCCCTCTCTTGACGCAGTTGATACGTGTGGTAATCAGCCTTGGTGTCAGATAAATATTTTATCATTTTTCTGTAAGTTTCTGGAGTGTCGGGCATTAATTTAGTGTCATTGGTGCGGCTTTGGCATAAATATTTTCCTGAACCTACTAGATTATTCAATTGATGACACATCAATTGAAAATTTTTAATATTTCTAACAAATATTGGTGGGGGTTTAGGTTCTCTGGGGGTTGATGCTGCTTCCATTTGTTCGTTATTTATATTTGAAAGCACTTCAAATGGATTCGAAGTGAAAAACGGCGATTCTTCGCCCATAGCTTGAGTTGTCTCACAATTGTTAGGTTGTTGTGAGGAGCCAGGTTGGGGTTCAACTTCTTCTATGGAGCTCCCTGGTGTGGCTGGTGGAGTGTTTCTTTTTGAATGCCTTGTCTTTTTTTTAATGGGAGAACTAATTGTAGTATCGAGGCTCCTGGACCTAGTGTTTTTGCCCTTACT